GGCTGCTGGTCAGGGGGAAGGCGGCAGGCAGGAGACAGAGGTGCCCGGGTGGTGCTGGCACATGGGGTGACAGGAACCTGACACCCGTTTGTTCTGTGTCCCGTTCCTCCCGTGACATTCAGGGGTCCTCCATGCCAACAGCCGCAGCCTCCCAGCATCGGGGGCTCTTCCCCACCAGCACGCCAGCACTCGATGCGTGGGGCAGAGGCTGAGGTTGCGAGGGGGAGGCAGCAGGCTGTGTCACCCCCAGGAGATGGGGACTTGGTGTCCCCAGGGCACAGGGGCCAGGAGGGAAGGGGCAGAACAGCCGGTCATCCTCCCCGCTGCTTCCGCCTGCCTGGCCGGCTCTGTCTGTCCATCTGTCCCGCAGGGCTCCGCTCACCCACGGGCTCCCCAGCTCTCCCTGGCATGAGCAGGGATGGAGACCCTTGGGGTGGGACACTCCAATCCCCCCAGCTCTGGGGGTCCCGTGGCATCGCAGCCCGACCTCAGCTCTGCTGCAAGGGAGAGCACGGGGGACACCCTCGCTGCCAGAGCCATCCTGCCCGCTGCGTGCTGCCTGGGCACCCGGTGTGGGCTGGCAGCGGCCGTCCCGAGTGCCCTGCTGAGATGCCCAGGCTGTGGGCACCTCACTTGCCCAATCCCATGACGCTGGGCCAGCTCCTCCTTGTCTGCCCCATGCCGTGGGTCAGGGAGCACCCAGCGCTAGCTGGGAGCCCTTCTCCCTCCCAAAGCTCCCAGCCACCATGCCAGGGTCTGGCACACTGCAAAGTGCGCTGCAGGCAGGTGCAGCCAGCGAGAGGCACGGCCAGGGTGGCCTCCTGCCCCAGAGGACGGGGTGAGAGGGACGGAGGAGCGGGGCCACGATAGGCTCTAAGCCTCCGGGCACAGGGATGTCAGTGGGCACCCAAGGGACTGCTGGGGAGAGCTCATCCCTAGGGATGGAGATGCAGGGATGGGACGCCCACAGGGACACGCCAAGGCCCCTCCTCACCTCTGCTTGAGTTTCTGCAGGTCATCCAGCAGGTTGTCACGCTCAACCTCAACGCGGGCCCGCTGGCTGGTGAGCACGTCCACCTGGCGCCGGAGCTCCCGCAGCTCCTCCTCGTACATCTCGGCCACGCGGGTGGGCTCCTTGCCCCGCAGGCGGTTCACCTCGGCCACCATGAGGGCATTCTGCTGCTCCAAGAAACGTACCTTCTCGATGTAGTTGGCGAAGCGGTCGTTGAGCTCCTGCAGCTCCACCTTTTCGTTGGTGCGGGTCTGGAGGAACTCCTGGTTCATGGCGTCGGCCAGGCTGAAGTCCAGCAGCTCGCCAGCCCCTTGGTAAGCGCTTTGGTAGGAGCGCAGGGGCGTCACGCGGGTGGTGCGGAAGCTGGACAGGCTGGGGACGGCCGAGGGGCGGGACACCTGGCAGACACGGGAGGGGACGGG